AGCATTCAATGATGCTTGATAAAGTCCAATTTTTTTTCCTTTTAGCATTTAATGATGTTTGATAAAGTATGTGACTAATGGCCATTCATTTTCATGCCACATCAATGACAAGGCATTTTCTATATTCTTTCTATTCTGTCTATTTTTTTTATTATTCATTCATTTTTGGTAAGTTAAAAGCATCTCTCCACTTTTGGTGTGCTATCCACTTCTGGGGAGTTGGTGGGTTAGGGTATCCATCTACTTCTAGAGGGTAAAGTTATCCATCCACTTTTAGTAGCTAAAGTTATCCTTAAAATTAGAATAGTGATTAGTGTAAGTTATTATAGTAACTTTTTTCATATCTATAACCATAATTATTAGATGATGTTGCATTCACTTTAGGGAATGAACGAGGCTTATGATTTTTCATTAGTAGCTCGTTATTTTGCTCAACGATAAAGACATGGAATCCAAAACAAAACGTATTTTCAGATTATCAAAGAATAGTATTTTCCACCTGTTGCAAAATAAATATCATACAAAGTCAATTTCATATGTTCAATTTAAAAATGCCTTATGCAAAATCTCATAATATTAAAGATAGATTTACATATGTTGAGTACAATTATTGTAGGAGTTCAACAAATAAATCATATAAATATAATATATATTTTCATTCTAAACTTGATTTAATAAGTCAAGAGACAAAAATATGATAAATGCAAACTATTTAAGTTTGCATAGTTTATTATCATAGTTACTTTTATTTTTTACATATTTTATTATGATAATTATAATCGTATTGGTGGTATTGGAAAGAGAAATGCAAACTATTTAAGTTTTTGTCTGAAAATACTTACAATATTATTTTGGTTGATTTGCAATACTATGTGATTTAGGAATAATTTGTGAACATAAAAAGTACCAATTTACATAGGTATAGTGAGAGTGTCAACACTTTCCTCATATGTAATTGTACTTTGAACCTGAACCTAAATGTGTTTCGTGATCAATTGCACGCCAATTGCACCTAATAAAAAAAATGATGGTAACTCTTCTTTTTTCATGATGTTAGCTCCTCTTTTATGATGGCTTCATTTTTATGTCAGCAGAAATTGATGGTGACTCCTCTATTATATCGAGCAATTAAGTTTCAAAACTTATACATTATAACAATTATAGTTAGAACAATTAATGAATTTAAGTAAGTATTATATTAATTATAAAGAATTTGTACTAATTTAAACAAATGTTGTGAGGCTACTAATACTTTACTCAAACGTAATTATGTTCCTGAACCGTTTATATTCCTAAACCTTAAATGGTCAATTGCTACCAATGACAAAAATTGATGGCTATTTCATGGTCAATTCCACCTAATAAAAAAGATGACTCATTGATGGACATAAGATGTTATGACAATTATTTAGAACAATTAAAAAATTTTAGTAAATATTATATTAATTATAAAAAATTTGTAAATAAAAATAATATATAATTAAATTTAATATTAAAAATTATTATTTATAATCAAATTTTAATAAGTATAATACTATTACTCAAATTTTAGCCTAATAAGCCTAATTATAACATATTTTAATTTTACTTAATTTGATCAAGGAGTATAGAATAGTCGATATATAATACTTGTTGACATCCTTAATTTGTTTGGAGGATGGGACACTACATACAATTATAAGCAAGCGATGCTATTATAGTATTTGGGAAGTGAATATTCATTTCATTGTCTAATTCAAGAGTGTTGATTCTTGTAAATTCTTTATTTATATATAAACGTATTTCATTTATTTGGCGAATATATTACTTTATATAATAACTATAATCTTTGGGGCACTTTTAAACTCGGGTTCGTTTTAAAAATACTACTAAGGCATTTTTGAAAATAGTCTTCTCTATAATTTTAATTATTTTTGGTCAAAAAAAATTAATTTTGGATAAAATTACTTTTAATGAAACTAATTTACCTGTTTAGATTCACACCTCAAACCGACTTATATCCTTTTACATTTTTTCACTAGACCATTTATTTCTAACGTGTTTCTTATAAAAAAAAACTTAAGCATTTTGAGAATTTTGGAGTGATTTTTGATATACGAAAAAAAATCATTAAGCATTTTGAGTATTTTAAGTATTTTGGAGTGATTTCTAATATATGAAGAAAAACCTTTAAGCATTTTGAGCATTCTTCTCCAAGTAGGCATATTTGTTAATTGTATTGTTAAATGGAATATGGTGTGTTGTTTGAAATTGTTGATTTTGTTAAATAGAATTCAATAGTTTTAAGTATTGCGTAATCGTTTTTTAGATATTGCGTGATTAATTTTTAAGTATTATATGACTAATTTTTAGGCATTACGTAACTAATTTTTAAGTATTGCGTAACTAATTGATATGACATTGTGTGACTAGTTAGTAAAGCATTGCGTGACTAGTTTTTCAGCACTATGTAACTTAGGCATTACCTAAAAGTCAATTATGTAATACCTACAACTTAATCATGCAATACCTAAAAACCAATCATGCAATGCCTAAAAATCAGAGATACAACGATTAAGTCACGCAATATATAAAAACCAATCTTATAATACCGAAAAACTGGTGACATGATGTTTAAAAACAAGTAATACAATACCTAATAACTAATTGATTTGCTTGCTCATAGCTAGGTTTAAGTTGCCCAAGTAATATAGTGTTTTAATTTTACAAATATGTTTAATCAATTTCAATTCCTCAACTTTGAGGTTCTATAAATATAAACCAATAAATCCAAAAACTTAAAACACATACCTTAATGTTATCTCTGTTTTTTGGGATAGCGAGAAAGAGCTTGATGATGAGACAAATAGTATTTGACAAGAGAGAAAGAGTACTGTTGTCAAGACATACAAAAAATTAACTAAAAATAATTAAATTTATAATGAATAATTTTTTTAAATTGAGCTTATAAAAGCTGTTATCTCTCATAATTTCCCCTTTCAACAAAATCTTATTGTTATTATTTTGTTGTGGAATGGCTATTTGTTAATATGAAAACACTAGACAATTGCTCCTGTCATTCACTTATAGTGTAATGATGACCTAACATATATAGTGAGACTAAACTGGAAGCTGATTACAACAAAGCATGAGATGATAGTTGCTTGTAGAAGATCATTTTTATGAACAGGAGCTACATGCATCAGTCTCCATTCAAGTCACTGCCAAGCGAGTTGTAAGTCAAAGCAACAGTGTGACAATTCGATACCTAATGTCTTGTTATTGTAGCTACATATAGTGAAACCCAGCTATCAAGCTCATCCACAAGTGCACCTAGTTTCTATCAGCTAAATTACTTTATGCAATCCCTATTGATGCAAAAATCAGGTATTACAATATAGCACATATTAATCAAGTTAAATGATCGATTATCTCAATAACTTAAATTGTTAACGTCTCTATTCGAGTTCCACCAGCAAATAAAAGAGAAAGTAGCCAAGGCAATAGAATTAAACTCATAAACTCAAATAATTTTCATCTCAGAAGTTTAACTTGAAACCTTTAAATCAGAGTCTTTATAATAACATAAGATCATCTTAAAGAAGAATTAAAAGTTCAAATCCTGTCGTGTATAACTCCACTATTTAAAAGAGAAAGAGAGATTTGACCCATTTTTTGGACTTTGCCATTAGAGTCTCGTGGAAGCTCCCAAGTAGTTCAATTTTTGTGGTAAGATATTGTAATCAACCTTTTGGTTGATGGTTACTAAGTGTCCAAACAGAGAACTGCAAATGGGTGATGAATTGGTAATTATATGTGCTGTTACCGGTATCAACCTGATGTATCTTGATCTACTTTTGGATGCATGTTTATCCTAAAAAACAGTGAACTAAGGGAATGAAAGGATATTAATTTAGAATATGATATAACCACTAATGCCGAACAGATGAATAATAATGATTAGAGTTTGGCCTTGAAATAAAGAGAAGATTAGGCTGCAAGAGAAGAATAGTCTGATGGGTCATTTGACCTAACTGTGACCGACTTCCAAGTTAATTTTCAACTAATTAATTACAAAATTATGACAAAGAGAAGAGAAGATTGACTATGATGCACACCTGACTTATGTTTTTTGGTTTGTCCCTTTGTCCAAGGCCACATGGCTTACAACTTTTTTTTTTGGAAAACTAATCGCAAGGAAACTAATATGGTGCCTGCAACAACCTCTTTCCCAGTTAGTTATTTGGACAATCAAAACCAAGTCATCAAGACTCTTAAAATCAATTCTATAGAATTCCCCTGTCTAAGTTTGTGCTTCTAAAACTTTTCTTTTATCCTGCTTTACCCTCCATTATTAGCTTCCCTACCTTTCCTATTACCAAGTTACATACATATACAATAGAGCCAAAAATATCTGTAAGAGTTGATTCAAGAGAAGAACAACTACTGCAGTCTTTTTCTTGACAAAGAAATTGATGTTTCAAACACTGAATCTTTTATCCCCACATTATTGCATTTCATATTGTCAACAACACAAGTATCATAATTCCTCAAATAAAAAACAACTAGCAATGTGATTGCGAGCAGGATCCAGGATGTAGGGATAGGGACTTCCACCTTAGCTTCCAAGTGAAAACAACTTGGGATTGACTTTCACTTGCTTAGAAGCTAAAGCATATTTTTTTTCTATCAATCAATGGCAATGAATAAGACCTTGCCCTTAGGACAACCCTTTGCAGACAATGATATCTAATCTAATACCACTTCATTTATTTAATTCAAGAATGAAAAGATCTCCATTCATTTAATTCAAGAATGATAGAAAGTTTACCTCTTTTCACTCCCCTTTTGTTACCTTGAGCCAAATCGTAGAAAATAATGTAAAGAAATCAAATGATAGTATAAAGTTCAGCAGCCATCCAGATCCTTAAGCTGTTAGGCATCATTTGGACAGATCTGTGGATATGTTTTCAATACAACAGAGAAAAACAAGCACCTTGCAAATACTATAGAAAAAAAAATGATAGGAAGCAAGTTACATTTTACTGTAAGAAGGGCAAGATTACAAGTAAAGAGTAATGATACCCCAACATAGAAGGGAATGAAGTCACAGCCTCAGTGTGAAAAATGGGGGGATTTTGTTTGTCCCTTTGCTTTTGAATTATAAACAGAAAATTCCCCGAGCTGAATATCTGAATATATATCTTGGCTTAGTAATGGTATAAGAAGAATTTCATCCTATGCTATTTGCCTGTGTTGTAAATGATCTTAGACCACTGAAAATACAAAACCAGTGAGGTATACATTTCTTGTTCAGTGCTTCGATAGGTAAAGGAATATCGAAATGCCTTCGGCTTAAAAAGTACAGTCATCAAACATTGAAACGGAACAGCATTACATCTCCTTCTTGTACAATGTAATCTTTACCCTCAGATCTCAACTGCAGCAAGTTAAATATGAGAAATGGAGAGAGATAAAAAGTGAAATAATATAGCATTTTGGTCTCAGCGGGAGAGAGAGAGGTGAAACAAATGTTGCGTGAGAGACAACTGAAATATGTATGAAACAAAAGGATATTGAGGGAAAAGATAAAAATAAACAAAAAGAAAGAAGTTGACAGTATTTGAGCATACAAAGGATTAATTGGAAGAGACAGAGAAGGAAAATAAATTCAGACAAGTACAAAGCAGGAAGCAATAATTAAGAGAGGAGTGTAGCGAGCTACTCACTACAACTAGGCAATCACTCTTAAGAGACTAGATGCTAAGAACAGTCTGCCTTAGCTTGTACAACCTAAGTTTTGTAACCCAGAAACATACAAGCATATTACTAAATAGAAAACTAATGGAATGATGAGGCATATGGAAATGATATCTCCTCTCTCCCCCTCAAACTCAAGATTAATGTCTACTTCACCCAAAAAAAAAAAAAATTGAAGCAGGTTTTGCTGGTTGTTGGCAATAGTAATAGTTTCACCATATTAAGGGAAAACAAATACAAGCTAAACACTCTTGCTTTTCCTGATAGCAAAGTGAAACTCATGCAAGGTATGCACATATGCCGCTGACGAAATTATTACCTAAAAAATTTTAGAGGGTAATAGAAATGAAACAACTTACAAGTCCTTTTTCCCTTGCTGCTGCTAGTGAACCAGCGGCTATAAAATCATCATAGGATACCTATTAAGAACAAAAAATCTGTTTATAAAGAGGCGGTGAAGAAAAAAAGCCTATATTTCAAACTCATAATCAATGATTACACAAGTATAATATCTCTTAGAGATGCATGTGAATGCATATACTGAAGCATCATACAACTTTAACACAAACAGATGTTCAAGAAGTTAAAAGATGCTCATGTTCTGATTAACAAATCATGTCTCAAATATGTAAGCCATCTTTTATTTTCTTATCTTATTTACCATATATCGAACCATCATGCAATTTTAACATAAGGAGAAGGCCATACAACATTACACCACCATTTTTAGGCCAATATCCAATCATTTCCATGTTTATCAATAAAATATTGGCCTATAAAGTTTGCCCATGACTGCAGGGGAAGTGGCTGACTGCAGTGACAGAGGCCAGCTTGTAGACGCAAATAGTTTGAGCTTTTTTAAAACAATCTTTTCCATGACAAAAGACAGGAGAGAAACAAACAGTAAAAAGGAATTGCTGCCATCCAGCCACTCAGAGCTGATGAGAGGATAAAAATCTGAATACATGTGGGATGGAATCCACAAAATTAATGATGATGCTTACTGTCTCAGCACGAATGAAGCCTTTCTCAAAGTCAGAGTGAATAACTCCAGCAGCTTGAGGAGCAGTCATTCCTGATCAAGAGAGAAGAAAAATTACACAACATTGATCTACACTCAGCTGCAGTAACATGCTAAAAACTCATAACAAAGATAATAGTATCTGCACATGGTACGTATTGGACACTAAGCACAGCCAACGCTAACCTGCAAGTATTGTCCATGCTTTTGATTCCTGCAGTATCAAGAACAACACTTTCAACTGATGAAACAAAGAAAACTCCATGCAGACACGAAAACCATCTTTCAAAAGATTAAACCGATTTCTTTTTTTTAAAGAAAAAGGAACATTAAACTAATGGTAAGTACATCTTTTCACCTTCTCCCCAGATGTAAAGTACGTACGCAGCCCTAGAAGGCTATATGTTTCTCTAATAAGGTTTCCAAGCCCACTTTCATTGACACCAAGAGATTTCAAATATTCTGTTCGTTCATCTGATGGAAGTTCAGTGAGCTCCGACTCAACCTGCAATGTTAAGCTTTCTCAGTTCTTCACCATGGTAAAATAGCTAATTCAACATTGATCGGCAACAGGCTATAAATGAACATGTAAAATTCCTTATTTTTCAATAGATGACAGTATCAATGTCTACCAACAGACTCAAACACATTACAGAGAGAGAGAGTTGAAAAGTTCTATATCACTTGCCATTAAAGTATGCTTTTCAAGAGTATCACCAAACCTGTGCAGAAATTGTAACAATTCCAGATTGCAACTCAGATGCAAGATTCATCACTTCATTAACATGGGGATTATTTTCAGGCTCAGCAAGATCAGATTCTGCAACATTGGCAACATATATGATTGGTTTCATTGTAAGCAAGCAAAGATGTTTCACAGCATCCTTCTCAAATTCAGTTAATGCAACTGCTCGTGCCGGTTTTCCATCCATAAGTGCCTGCTTAATCCTTTCCAAGGCAGACTTTTCTGCTTCCTCCTAAAACAGTAGTATAACTTTAAGAAAGTTGATGCCAACACAAAAAACCACCACATTGGTGTACAGCATAGACAGACTGACAGACAAAGGACAAGGCTAGTTGCAGTAAGAACAGAAGAACAGGAAAAATAACTTCACCTTGACTTTAGATTGAGAATCCTTTGTCTTCCCCTTTTTGAGCTTCTCTATTCTTTTCTCTATCTGCAAGTCTTATAAAAGATACGATTACTTTCATATGCTTTTTTTTATTTACGCTGTCACAGATATGTACTAAGGCCATGCAGGAGTTCGTAAAGGTTAGCCAATAAAGAAGCATTCAAGCAAATTTCTTGAAGGTTTAATGCATGACCAGTAAATATTATTTTAAAACCAGAGATAATTATACGTCTTAACAAATATATCTGCATGACAAGAAGCACGAGCAGGGACAAGAATGTGAGATGATATGAATTTGATGTTATATCTGGAATAACAGGATAGAGACATGAAACGTGTCCATCCATACTATAGGATGCAATCTACAATGGGTATGCAAAAAGCTTAGTGGTATGGAACCACATTATTCAAAACAAAATGTTAATCACGACGGTTTTTTCCCACCATAAGTATAAAATAGATGTTTCCATTTCATGTTGAAAAGGTAATATCTTGGGGCCAAACATCACTGGCCAACAACTTTTCAAGTTTATACCACATGAACTCAAAAACTTAAGCTCAAGTTGCTAAAAGTGAATGACTTAAAACCTTATGTGGGGTTCAACAATAACCTTCATAATATCATATTCCTCACACACACCCTGCCCTTTTCCTTGATGTCCCAGTCAGCATTCAAAACCATTTATAGCAATCATACTTGATACTCATAGGACCAAGATCACACAATGTGCCAATGTAAACCCACATTGGGTAGGCATATGCTTTGAAACCGGTGGTAATATCCTGGGCAGCTGGGCCCGAGGACCACTAGCCCATTATCTTTTCAATCCTAAACCACATGACCCTACAAGCTTAGCCCAAGTTGTTAAGAATGACTTGAACCCTTAAATGGTTTTCAACAATCACACTCCTATTTCAATATAGGATGATGTATCACCAAAAAAAAAATGCAGTCTCCGAAGACTTTAGACCAGGCAACCACCAAGAAGCATCCAAGTAGTATTATGACAAATTTTAAAATTCTATTAAAAACTGGGGTAAAAAATGTGTTAGATCCCTTTCCAGAAGGAACTTTAATCTTTCGATATGTTCAAAGAGTATTTATGCATCAACCACAACAGGATAAATAGAGTTGACAGATAGTGCTTCTGATTAAGAAACTGTGATACTCTGCTTTTGAGCTATCTATTGAACACGACATGCAAGCAAAATATGTGTGCAACTTTCTGTTTAGGATTACTGCATGTCAACCAAAATCTCCAAAAATTTCGAACTGGAACCAGCTTCCCCTTGCCTTTTGTACATTTTAATAAATGTTGCTAGTAGCTCATCAATCATATTCACTGTGAAAGTTTATTTCTACAAGATACAGATCTCAGACAAAATTGAGAGCCTTAAGAAAACATGAATTAGCGCATCATATTTTTCAACACCTAAGTCCTGAACTCTACCATACAAATAAATTTTTAACTCATCAAAACCAGAGTTCTTTCTAATTGGGCGGAAACTGATGGGTTTCAAATTACATAGAATTCTAGAATTATTTTAACAACTAATCACGTATTAGAAATTCCAGAATTATCTTAACAACTAATCACATATTAGAATTCTCAAGTACACATTTTACTCAATAATCTTCATAAATGAGTCAAAACTTAATTCTTCTAAGTGAGAAAACAAGCTTTGCACTTTCTAGGGATCTTCAAGGATCCTATCATGAGTACCTATATCTAGTATGCAAACAATTATTCCCACCTCCTGCTTGATCTAAACTTACGGTTAAATCTTTTGATTAGGATCAAATTTTACCTGTCCAAGGAGATGAATTCTCCAGCTTTTAGCCTCAATTTCCTGTCTATTTCCATCATCTATCCTCCTTGGAAACTACCTATCTTTCCCAAGTTTTTCAGCTGCATGAACATGACAATTTGTTTGTGTCAGCAACTAAATATAAAACCAAACTACTCTAAACTCTTTAAGGACCCCTGCTGCGTTAAACAGACTCCAAGTTGCATTTGAGATAGTGGATATGATAAGTTGGTTTGTATTTGATCAGGTGAAAGTCTTCTACTTTTGTTTTCTGATGGATTTAGAATAATTTGGACTCTTTGTGTTCTTGGAGAGACTTAAACTAGTTCAGATCTTTTTACACATTTTTTGGCTTCTTTTTAAGATTATTCTTAACCCTATCCCTGCACAATGAAAAACTATCCAAACCAAACAAGTTCAAAATGGAACAAATATTCTATAATAGAGTTCACTGGATGTGACCCTTGAGTTCATTACAAAATCTAAATTATACAAAGGTAACAAAACCTTTTATTCTTGACAGACTTGAAGCAATTCAAGCATTTTATCCACACAAGAATTAAATTCACCCCAACCTTTAATATGTAACAAGATTTTTGGAATTACGAAAATTTTAGTTCAGTTTAGACTCTAAAAAAATTTAATGATTAGCTAGGATTGTAATTGCAAAAAGATCCAGTAATTTACAACTGAATAAAACATCGGATAAATTGTAGGAATCCAACAAACCTTGGTTGAATAAAGTTTTGACAGCACCCTTAAAGGAAATGGTACTAAAAGTAATTAATTAAGACTAAATGCTCAATGGGGCCAAAACCTTTGCGTAATTTGTCAATTTAGAGCTAAACATTTCAATTGTAACAATTAAGGGCAAATGTTTTCGGTTTCTTACAATTAAGAGCTGAGGTGAGAGGTGTTTGACACGTGTAGGACATGCACATGATGTGGATGCAGACTTGTTGTGTACGAAACGAGAGGGTAGTTTTGTTAGAAAGTCTTTTTTGTCAAGTCAAAACAGTTCAAATTATGGCATGACGTGTAACAACATTTTCATCATGACATGTAACAACATTTTCATCATGACATGTAACAACTAAATTTTTCAATATGATGTGTAAAAACTAAATCTTCTACATGGCGTGTAATAACTACATTTTTCAACATGGCGTATAACTACTAAATTTTCAACATGACATGTAATAATTGAATCTTCAATATGAAGTGTAGCAACTATATTTTTCAATATGACATGTAACAACGAAATTTTCAACATAACGTGTAACAACTTTATTTTCCGACATGACATGTAACAACTAAATTTTCAACATGCCAAGTCAACTACCGTGTCATCAGCTCAAGCGATTTTTTGTCATGTGTGATACATGCTCTACACACCTATCAACTTAGCCCTTAATTGTAAGGAATCGAAAACATTTGGCCATTGATTGTTAGAATTGAATAGTTTGGCCGTAAATTGAAAAAGTCTCTAAACATTTAGCCCCAATTTGAGCATTTAACCATTAATTAACTAACCACCTGAAAACACTACTTCATTTATCAACTACATTAATACAAAGGTCCTGGAGTTGTAAGTTACAAAAAGTCAAGCTCAAGTTTAATTTTTCTCAAACCCAAATTGCTCAAATTGCCTGAAGATGATGTAGTCCTCCAAATCTAAAAGACTTGTCTTCAAAAGGAGAAGACTACCAGATGGTAAATACAATCCTGATTATAGATTCTCACTTCCGAAAACACAAGAAGTAGTAATTTGATTCACATCACTGAATAGGACAGTATAAAGAGGAATGCGTTCTACCAATCATATATAACTAGGATTCATATATAACTAAACAAATTGATAAAATGTTGGTTCACCTCGCTAAAAGGGGGACAACTTTTGCAAGCAGAGATCTCTTTGGACAATACCAGCCCAAGTGTGTGAGAGTACAGTAATATCTCCTAAAAGTCTCTTAACATATAAATTAGACACCACACAAGCAATATAACACAAATGGACATTGTAAAATATGTTTTAGATGCACTCAGTCATAATGATGATAACAAGTTCTAAACTATTAAATTAGCATCACCACTTTTTCAAGAAAGATAAACCCTAAACCTTGAGCATACCTGATCTAAATCTGAGAAAACTAGTTCCAAATTGATCACATCGATATCAGACTTAGGATCAACTTTGCCATTCACATGAACAATATCATTATCTTCGAAACAGCGTACAACCTGAAACAATAATGGAATCATCATTATATTTCAAAAATTAAAAGTTAATGACTATATCACCTAGCTTTTGATTGGTAAATGATATGCATATATTTCAAGAATGTCTCCAAAAGGATTTGTTCAGATTTAATAAAAACAAATAAATAACTGTTTAGGAACGGGGATGTTTAGCTGGGTTCTATAGTTTTTAAATATAAGAGGGGTATCCTGTACAAGGATAAAGGATAAACTTGAGAGTCATGGGGGGTTCCTTTAAATTTTAAACAACTACAGTGTTGGAACAATGACTCAACAATTAACATAAGCCCTTACCCTTAGATCAAAAAGACCTCTTTGTCTGCTTTT